TTATAGTTTGTTTTCCTTAACACCCGTTGGGGAATCCAGGCTTAACAGCGTGTCATCTAGAACAGACGTCATAGGTTTGCCATCAAGAAGATCATTGATTGCCCTCTCCCCTCTTTGGAACAGCTTTATAGCTTTTATAAGAAAGTTCAAAATATCCTTAAAGATTCATTTCATCCTGGGCTCCCCCCTTTTTTTTAAACTATTACCATCTGGCAGATGGTACAGGATAATAAAAACAAGGACAAATAGGCTGAAAAACAGCTTCTATTCCAGGACAGTAATTCTACTGAATTCTACTGTATAGTGCAATATTAATGCAATATCAGGGGTTTTCAATTCAATGTCTAGAATGTGAAGGATGTGTGTTTGTGTTTATTTTCATAGCTATAATGTACACTGAAGATGGTATTTGTTGTACGAGGTGCAATGACAATAAAGTAAAGTAAAGTAAACTAAGAAGTTTGCAGTCTTGGTATATATATGCAGGTTATGTTAGAGCAACTCTAACCTGCATAGCTGCATTTCTCTAAATTGCCATCCTCGATTAGTTATAACTTGGATTAGTTCATTGCATGTACCCACTGAGTTTAGAATTTGGTGGTATTGTTTGTGTAAATGTTGTCCCCAAAACTGGGCCCTTGCTTGGTGTCGAAGCCGATAAGTCACTGGACACAAGGTGTGATACAATATACTTCTATTTTGGTACCAAGATATAAGGAACCTGGCTCAAAAGCTAACCAAGGGACCTGATTACAATCTTACAGCAATTTTTATAGCCAAGGGGTGGTCGCATACAGCCCTTTGCCCTTCCCCTAATAATGCATGCATAACATATAATATTGATTGGTTATTTGGATCTCAGCCCCCTACATAGCTATATGTCACATCACCTGTGTTTCACCCCAGGTCACAGGTATCTTGCAAAGTGTCTTAGTTTCATGTGCCAGCTATGTGGTTTTGGGGGTTTTTCATATAAGCAAGCAATTCTTGTTCCTAATATCCTGGCTAGTGTTAACTTCTGCCTCGCTAAGAATGTGCTGTTCCAACCCTTTTCCTGTTGCAGAGCAGCTCAAAGCAGCACCCCCACTCCCCCATGACCATTTCCTTCTGTAGAGAGAGAAAACAGGAAGGAGCAAGGCTGCCCAAGGCAAAGAAATAAAGATAAGAGAAAATGTTTTATCAGAATTCATATTCCTCACTCTCATGTCCCTTCCATCCCTACCTGGGTCCTATCTCCACATATGACCTTTCATCTGATCCCCAGGGTCTCCTCTGTACATACATTCCATCCCCTGAGCCTTCATCCCCCCCCCCCCCAGGACCTTGGGAAGGCCTACTTCCCAAAGGTCCTCCTAAGACGATCAACTCTTTTTCAACCCTTATTTGCTTTATTGGCCTCATAAGCAGTTGTCTGAGTAGAGGTATCACACAGGGGATGAAGGCTAGTCCTTCTACTGCACACAACATCAGGAACAAGAGCTGTTTGACCCAGGCAGATCCTGGCAACCATGAGACCAATGTCTATCCCCAGTAATGTCTGTCCAATTTGGGATGCTCTTGTCTTGCAGGTCCTTTGCAGCTTCTCTGACCACTCCTGATTTATTCATATAGAACATAAACACACCTCAAGTTAACTCAAAAGCCAATTTGGATATTGGGGGGTGGGGGGGGGGCAAGCCCAGCCACAATTACATTATTATGCTCCTTTATCTATTATATCCTATATTATGCAAGATAGATAGATAGATATAGATGATAGATAGATAGATAGATAGATAGATAGATAGATAGATAGATAGAT